GTGGGTGTGTGAGGTGTTTCAACACAATTACAGTATGATAAAAGGACACTTTCTTAATGTCAAAATAAGAATCTTCTAACCTTTATGTATGACACTTGTAACTTCGATTCAACGTTATGCATAAATACAACAAGAGTGTTGAAGTTCACTGCAACGGATCATATGGCTTATTTAGGCCAATTTCAAAGTGTGATCTTCACAAAAAAATGCATCCGTTGACGGTCTTCGTGTTCATTTACAGACACAAAATGTTTTCCTCGAGTTCGTTCGTCTTATCCATCTTGTGGCAGAAATTAGACGTACAAATTCGCAATGTGGAACAACGTTAACAGAGTTAAGGACTGAGTACTGCATTATTTTGTACTTTGTTAAACATCGAAACATTTTAAACAGAAGTTGTAGATCATAAAGAAGTGCAATTCAAGCCGAGTTCGTATCAGGGTGAACAGCTCTTCATACAGTGCATTAAATTATACTTAAGCTTCGTATCCAGAGGACCCAAAATTAAATCCGCCTTACAGCATACGGTTTATACCGTCAACGCGAAATTTAACCAAAATCCGTTCAATAGTTTTGGAGAATAAAGTTGTGGATGGACGGGCATTACTGTATATTGTATGTTTATTGTTCGCATGTCCCGTAAGAGCGCGTAACGTTCAATCACTAGGGCTATCGGTTAAGCAATCCTCTGCCTTTCGACAACAGGCGGCACCCGGCTTCAGTTGCGTCCGAATGGCAAGCAAGCCCTTTCATCAACAATCTGAGCAATTAAAAGCGTCTCTGAACAAACCAAGAATAAATAAATAATCAACGTTCACAAGGTCTCGCTATATCATTTTCTTTTTTACTGAGGTAAATCAGAATGGTTTAAGAGAATGTGTTCTCTGGAGTTATTAAAACCAAATAATGGCTGTGAAAAACTAGGTATAATTATAATATTAATGAAGTAATTTAAAATTATTAACACATTTCTGTTTACCAATATAAAATATGGATAGGCCCTGTATTAAATTGTAGAGGTCCTGCGATATGCTGATTCCTCATTCAAAGGAACCCAACCATAAACCTAATAAATTTCATGGAATTTAAACCTGAAAGAGGCCTAAACTGTATCATACGCCACGACGCCGGCTTTCTTTCCAGAAAGCTTCGGTTCAATTCCAGGGCACTGGTGGGGAAAACGACATTGGAACAGTTTTTTCTCCGAGTACTTTGGCGTTCCCCAGTCATTAATCATTCCACCGACACTGCATACTGGTCCATTACAGGCTCAGATGTATGCGATAAGCGAGCGTTTTCAAACTAGGTCAGTGAAAGGCGTGGGCCATTTGCGACTCATGTCAGTGCCTGGACAACCATGAACATTGGCTGTCGTCCGGGATATCAGCGAAGCATGTCCCGCGCACCAACCACGGTTTAAACATCCCTAATCGATTAACTGGCCGGTTAAATTCCGTCCCATGACAACACAGCCCGTGTAAATATCCCGTCTCGTTGCACACCAATGGGCGGGCCGCATTATGTCTTATTCAAGGTTCGAACCTGCAACTGTCCGTCTTGCTCAGTCGCTCCCAGCAAGTGTTGGTTTACGAGGAACAGACTATTCCGATAGAAATTTTACCTCGGCGAGACCAACAGACGTTTCGGAAGGAACTTGAATTGAGCTAATAGCGATTTTCCTCATTCCTCCAATACCAGCTTTCATAATTATCCTTAAATGTTATATGACAATAAATTAATCTGACTAGCGTTTTTAAATGACTATTATTTGTCTCTCGACATCGAGGAAGAGGCCTTAGACTGCAGGTGTTCCAGAACACGGAGCTGAGAAGAATATATAAGAGGGAGGAAGAACCAGGAGGCCGGAGAAAATTAATTTATGAAGAGTTCCATAATTAGCAAAATTCACCAAAATTATTAAGTAGTACGCATATGAGAGATGAAAAATTAATACGAAATTTTAGTTGGAAAACCCGAATGGTAGAGAATTTGAAAAATATCAGCTTGGATGTGAGGATAATATTAACAAGGATCTTAAAGAAATATATAAGGGTTTGGACTTGATTCATCCTGGTCAGAAAAGGGTTTATAGTTATTCTCATATGCACATAATAATGAACCTTTGTGTTTTTTGATAGACGGGTCATTTCTTCACCACTTGAACGACTATCAGTTTATCAAGAACTCCACTCGATGAAGACAGTTATTTGCCAAGATACAGTTTAATGCACAGTGATGTAAAATCAGGATCGGGTCCAGCTGTGGTATTTTGTTGTGATGGTGATGAACATTCGGGATAATTAAAAGGAATTGCTAAATCAGACCGGCCATCAGCTGCTCCTTACTAGCGGCACAAGAAGAGAGAGACCTTCACTCAAACTGGTGATCGTCTGCCTGAAAACCGCATTCGCAGATATAGGACTATAAAAACGTCTCATTCACCCTCACATAAACCACCCCTTGCAGATGATGAACAAGCCTGTTGAAATTATTACCTCATGCAACAACTTGGGCCGGCGACCTTTTGAGGACTTTAACACGATTTCCGATGATGGATGAATTTCAAATCTAATACAAGTGGAACGCAGTGCTCAGAGCGCCGGTCAGGCAGGCAGGCCCGCAGATCGATCGCACTCGGCATTAAACAGGGAACTGAAGAGGACTAGCGGCACACAGCATGCCCCAAAAATGCGTTTCACACTACCAGGTGTCACAAAACTGGCGCAGTTCTGCGTATGAAATCCGTTCGTGTTTCTAAGCTAATTGCGTATTCGGGTCAAAGCAAAATGAAGTTACCTCTTTGCTTATCAGGAAATTATGATAACGTACAGAGTGCGTCAAAGCAAAGGTCCACAGGTTTTTAACCTCGACGAATTTTGAAGATGAGGGATTTGATGAAAGAGCCAACTGAATAAAAAATCGTCTGAATTTAAACGTTTTATATAAACATTTACAAGGGAAATTTCAAGGCAGTTCTTCAAAATAGCCAATTAAACAACAGCTTAGACTACTGAAAGGAATGCAAAGGAGTATATGACAATATGTTCCAAGCGCATTCTTTGTTATTTGCCATACATCGTTGCACTTCCAGATATAAACCCATTATGGTGCAGCATCTTCCTTGAAATGTTATGGCAATTCAGCAGGCCAGATATTTCCCTGATAATGTGGGCTGTAGTCTTCTGCATGGCGACGCCGTGTTACGTCGGTACTTACCAACGTTTCGAAAGAACGTATTACATCCATGTTCACTTCTACCCTGAATACGGAAGCAATATGTTCCTCCGAAACATTTGTTATTACCTACAAGAGTATGCAGCGTCAACCCAGGAAACCACACTTATAACAATTTTCCTGTTTTTATGTAATCCGGATCGTATACTGAGGTAGATGGGTAGCCTACAATTTGTATCCTCATAGCCCCTTCGTTCAAAAATGTACTTAAACAAAAGACAAAGATATTAATTGCTCCCTCTGTACCCCAGTTTTAGATGACAGAATGACCACTCTTTCAAATGCATAACGAGAATTAGTAATTTTGAATATCCTTGCGGGTGTTTGAAATATATAACACTACAGGATTTTATTCTCCAATAACGTAAGCCTATAGTTAGAGTTATAGCTATTTTATCAATATTTAAATTAACCGCTTATCTCTTATTTATTTATTTTACAACCAATGAAGCTTCAAATATAGTCAGAGGTAACATAAATATTTTGTCATATCTCGCTTGTGTATTATATTTTCGCTGTCCAATGTGTTGTTTCTGTAAGGTTAACTTATTTTATTTTACCACAAAATCGGATACATTTACGAATAATACTACTAACAAGAAGTTCAGGGCAAATCCCATAAAGCCTACTTTCCTACAACACCGCTGTCCCTTTGTTTGCTAATGTTATATTTAGATAGTGCACCCTTATAATGTAGCAACAGGCCTATAATGCATTATAGTTCATGAGTTTTCGTATTGACCTCGTGTGCAGATGGTCTAATTTATAGCTTACAGTTGTAAATAAGTTGCAGAACCGGAATCAACCGGTTGTATATTGGGCATATTTTATACAAGTTTGAGTAGGGTAGTGCTTTGCTAATCACCCGATACTTCACAGGCTTGCCTCTCCGTACTAACGCATTCATCTCTCATTCACCTCTTCTTATATCCGAATTTCATTTTCGCTTTTTTGCGGGCAGTAACGCGATTTTGCTAACCACCCTCCCTACTACGCTTCAACCCTCTTGGTATTTTCTCCATCCCTCTCCTGTCATCCCTTCACAAAACACCAAAATTAAATAATCTGCCGCATACGAAACTTTTCTGGCCTTGTGTCCGGCGAATTTAGAAGTGTCAACAGTTACCAGGCTCATGTATGAGGCAGTCTGCCCTGGCTATTAAAAACGCGGGGATTCAAAAAGTAGCAGAATACTTAGGGCGCATAAGTTTAATTCTTTGCAACACAAATTTCATCTAAATAATATATAAAAATTAAGTTCCTACCGTAAAGAAAACAAAACACTTCTCCATTACGAAGATCATGCTGTTGATGCTGTGAAGGAAAACAATCACTTTTTATCCTGAGAATAATACGAACCTGTAAATACATTCTTTGGGAAAATGACGTAGACTGGGTGTTATAAATCGGGTACAAATTATTCCAGGAGATGAAGTCATAAACATCTTTAGATCGTACTGGAGATGTGGCCATAAAAATAATTCAAGCGCCCTCTGGAGATTAGTTCCAAACAGTTGCAGGACGTACGGGAGACGCAGTCTTAAACACTTCTGTATCCTACTCATTATGCAGTCCTGAACTGACTTAAAGGTACTATTGGGAGACATAGACACAATCCTAAACAGTTTTAGGTCTTACGCAAGATGTAGTTCTGTAATGGGTTACAGGTCTTGCAAGAGAGATCCTGAATCGAGTTCTAGAACAAGTGAAGGCAAGTTTGCCTGCAGTACAGTTGGCTAATAAAGTAAAAGTGTTTTGTCCATTACCTTGATGCGTCTTGCCGGAGATGTAGTCCTCCTTGCAGATGAATTTGTTGTCATCCAGCACATAGAGTTCTTCGCCCGTGCTCAGCTGCTTGCGACACACCATGCACGTGAAGCAGTTGAGGTGAAACACCTTCTCCCGAGCCTTGCGCACCAGGTCGCTCGGCGAGATACCCTGAGAACAACCTCCACACTTGGTGCCGTACCTCCTGCAAGTAAACAACAACCAAGGCGTTTCAGAACCACAAATAATTGCAAGCACGAGCAAAAATAATACTCGAAGCTCTTCAGAACCACAATGGAACTACCAGAGTACCAAAACCATTTTTTCGTTGTCGAACAAGTGGACTTAAGCGGTTCTGAATCTGATAATCTGAGGTGTCTAATTTGGACAGCAATGACGAAGTTCTGGATCTCGTGGAAGAAGAGTGTGGCCTACTGCGTAGAAGGGAAGGGGCTTCTTAGTGATTGGTACCAACGATGTCTCTGAGTCCAACTTCCCGCTGAATCGCATAACTCAGTCTCGCACTATTTCACATTTGTGACCGCAACAAGTTGTCTCCAGCGTGACTCGCAATCAGAAGTACCTTGTTCGATCTAAGCGTCAACATCTCGGGGGGGTTTTTTATAATAATCTGTGCTTTCAAAATATTTCTTACGCATGTCACCAACTATAGCATTTTCGCGACGGGCTGGTGGTTTTTGCACATCTTCATTTGTTTAATTATGATCGATAAAATTTTATAACATGGTTATGAATTTCAAGGTCTTTTTTAGTGGCCCGTCACCGAAAAAAGTTAGCAACACCTGGTAGGCCTTATAAACTGGACGTCGGTACTGCAGGTATCCTTTTAGGCCTACTCAATCAAGATTTTGAATGTGGTAACAGCCACCACGAAGAACGTGTTCATACAGCCAGTTGCACAGTAGTCCACTTTGCGGGGCAGGTATAATATCGACGCTGCTTCCCGACGCTGCGGTAGAGACGACGACATAGATATATATCATCATCCCTCTTCTCTCCGCCACCTCCCTCCCCTCAGCAAAACTTCCAATTCACTTTGGAATGTCTTCATCCGGCTCTGGAAACTGCAACAGTATCTTCCATGCGGGGAACAGTGACGTATGTAGCCTACATTTAATGCAAGAACGTGGGCACTAAAATTTTCAGAGGATCCGTGCAAATGAGTTGTATTCAGACTGAACGTATTTGATCCTGCTTTCATACAGAATGGTGCAAAATAAAAACCCTGCTGGAAAGTGCGGGAGTATTCTAGGCCATTTTCATGATCTCTTAGCAGCAATTCTTGCACCAGCTGAATATTGTACGGAAAAAGGGAAGTCCCGTAAGTTCATAATAATCTCCCAAGCCTCTATTTTATTTCTAAAGAAATTATAAAATGAAAAAATTAGTTATTTGAAATTAGGTGATTAATTATGTGCCACTTTGTACTAAATTAGCACAGCGCGTGGCAGTGAGTGTAAGACTGATGGGAAAGAATTTTCGATGTTTTTACTGATCCAAAAGCTAAGTCGGGGTTTGCAGAAACTACGTAGCCACGGCTGCTGTCCCCGTCCCGCGGTCACAATAAAATGCCAGCAACAACAATACCCTTTAAACTATTTATTATTACTACTATCATCATCATTATCATCACAATTCTATTCCTGAAAGCCGACCACTTCATATGTTTATCGACTGGAAAAGTATAAAGTTTTAATTACCTCGTTTTATACTTTTTACCAAAAATGTTCAAACACACACAAATAAAATCTGATTTCTATGTATATATTGTGACAGGAAATTATTTCTCCGTAAAAATGGTGATGGAAAATTATCTGTAATTTATTTTGTGTGCTTCATCTCCGCAGCTATTGACCACACTTTGGAGACTGCCCTGAAAGTAATTAAGTGAACATTACTTTGGCCCTGATCATGTATTATAACCCTCTTAACATGAAGTTCAAATCTACTTTCAGTTTCAAGCCAAGAACATTCTCATCCCATAAAAATCAATAGTCGGTGAAACACATAGCTTCTGAAACATTTAATATTTATCGAAATACAATATATATTTATTTATTTATTTATTTATGCTCGTTTTACTTGTAATGCGATTTACTTGTAACAACAGAGTTGTATTTCTGAAGTATGAAAAATTACAAAGAAGTAATTTGCAAAATGCGTGTCTACGTTTCCTCTCTTGTATTGTCATTCCTTGGCGTCAACATGGGAACAGATCGCCATCAACTGTCAGCAAACTGCAGACTAAGCGGTCACGGTCTATTTAAATACACCGACCAAGAATTTGCATGCTGTAATGATCAACGAAGAAAGTTTCGAAGTTCGGAGAATTCGGGACCACACCGAGAGAAGAACTACGAATAGTTCGATGTGTTTAAATGCAGGGGAAAAATACTTCTTCAGGTATCATGTATTAGGCATCTGGCCTGTTTCTATTCAGAATTAATTCTAAATCCCACATCATTTAAATAACTTTAACTTCGTGGACAGAAGATAGATTCAACGTAACTACACTAACTACAAGCCGTACACAAATGCGAATGTATGTTCATTCCCTGAACTGGAATTGAACCGACGAACCCAGAGACCGAGCGGTGCGATATCGTAAGCGTGCCCTTGTATGTAGCCACTGACCGGGAAGAGCAGACTTAATTCATTTTTTCACTAAAGTTATAAGATTATTTTACCGTTTCACTGCAAGTAAATCTAAAGGTTATTTTTACCAGAAAACTCATCTAGATATCTTATCTGTCTGTAGACCATCTTGGCTACTCTACAGCCGGGAGCTGTAACTTGCGTCACCTCGTTATAGCACCCGCCCTGCTCATTTAAATAGCCTGTATGAAATAAATGATGGGAAACTTTATCTTACAGTCAGGAATCATTCCACTTATAAATTGATGATAAATTCACTTCTTCTTCAGAGGAGAGAAGAAACCCACGACGGCGACACTAGCAGATGTATCAGCTGGACTGGGACAAGCGCAATTTTAAACCTAGCGACATCTTTTCCCACACGGCATCGCAACAACTCAAGCCTTTATACTTTCTCTGACCTGAAGGAATGGAAATCGGAGATCTACATGATTCCACGTCGATGTTTGGGTGTGAACCTTGGTCTCTCAGGTTACGGGAGGAACATACTGAGGCTGTCTGAGAACAGGCTGTTATATAATTTATATTTATTGTTTTGTGGAACATCAAGAACCGTGGTTCTTGACCTGTGTCCCCCCCCCCCCCCCCCCAGGG